GACTAGATGATCATAATGGTCCCTTCTGATCTTAATATCTATGAACCTGTGCTCTCTCTCCCTCTCACCCATCCCACTCCCCCCCCCGCCCCCATCACCTCCCTTGCCTTTCTGAGCAAACCAAGGCATCGCAGTTCCCCGTCAGACGCCGGAGTGCACAGCTCCCATTAACCTGGGTTAATTCCTTACATTATTCTGAATTATTGATGGACGCCATTAGACCGGGGAGCTGGACCGGAAAAGCATATCGGCTGAGTGGGCACATTTTCAGTGGCAGCCGGGTAGGCGAGCTGAACAATTACAGCAGAGAATCAAGCAGGCCCCCATGTAATGATGGATGCTGAGGAGATGAATAAATAAATCATGAGACAGTGGTCGGGAGAGGCTGGCGGTGGCGGGGCGGGGGAATGCAGCTGCTTGGGCTAATGCAGGACTCAGGGGTTGAACTTCAACATGAAAGGAGACCTGGTTCCCCCCCTTCCCCCAGCAGCCAGTGATGTTTTCTTCTCCACCTCCACAGGCCGAGTTTTGCACTGATGGTCTTTTGCGCCTTGCTGTTGTCGAATCGGTTGCAATAAATGAGGCCGGCCAGTTGGGAGCAAATCAAAGGAAAGGCTTTTCAGGGCAAACTGGAGGAATCCGCAACCGTGGGCAGTCACCCGGGCCAAACGGTGGGGCTGGATTATTAGAGGGCTCCATCATTTAATGACCAGCGACTGCACGATTATTCTGGATGCTGTGATCGAGGGGCGGCAGATGCCACGCTCCGGGATGTAAGGCAATCCCCTGCTGAGGCCCAGAAGGAACGGTCTCACCCAATCCACACCATGGACAGCTTTTCACAACTGGCTAGGCTACAGAAGACCCATTTTCTCACCCCCCCCTCTGAAGCACCAAGTAGTAGCAGCTGCCAGGGGCAGGAGATTGGATTTGATGGGTCGATGGTCTGAGCCAGTGCTTGGCGGTAGGTTAGTGGATCTGAAACGCCTGTGCTACGATCCACTAAGGTGAATCCTGTGGGTTCTGCAGCCATCTGACGCTCCTATGAAAGCCCAAGGGATTCTCACACGTGGAGCAGCGCCGGCATCAGACCGGATTGCTCCACACTGCCGATATTTCACAAAGAACAGAGGGAAGGGAGCAGGGCTCAGAATCTGGGACAGGAGAGGCGAGGGGCTTGATTCTGCAGGGCCGGCCACCAGCCTTACACTGGCATAGCCCCTGGGCTCCTTATCTACAGAGGTGCAAGCAAGACCAGAATCAAGGCCGAGGGCTCCTTCCAATCAGACATGGACCAAGGCTGTTACCGCAGCTCAGCCAATCCATCGCCCGAGGGATCACAATAGGGGATTGGTCCCTACTGGATCTTTTCAAGTGTTTTCTCATTTTAAATGCCCCCAAATGCCCCCAAGCACTGGAGAGGCTGTCCCACGGCTTGATGGAGCTCACGGCAGCAAGTTCTGCCTCCCAGCTTCCTTTTGCTCCTAGCTACCCCCATTGGGTCACACTCATTCTTCTCCTTTCACCAGCAGCGCCTCTTGGGCACATCTGCTCCCCTGATGACCTTGAGCCCCTCCCTCCTTGAGGCGGGCAGAGTGACCAGCTGACCCATCTGCCACCCCTGGCTCTGAGACGACCCGTATTTTATTCTGGGGTTTTTAAAAAGTGACCTCCAAGTTCTAGCTTTTCTCATCATAGTTTTTTCCTTATTATTTCCATTAAAGTAGCCATTTTATGTTAGGTGCTGGACAAACACATAGTAAGAGACAATCCGCGCCCTGAAGATTTTACAGTCTAAACAGGCAAGTCAAACAAAGGGCGGGGAAAACTGAGGCACGGAGAGGTGACATGACTTGCCTAAGGGCACCCAGCAGGTCAGTGGCAGAGTTTCTATTTTCCAGCCTGCTGCCCTATTATCTAGATCAGCAGTTCTCAACCAGAGGTCCAGGGCTTCCTCGGGGGGGGGGGGAGGGGCCGCGAGCAGGTCTCAGGGGGGTCACCAAGCAGGGCCTGCATTGGACTTGCTGGAGCCCAGGGCAGAAAGCTGAAGCCCCACCTCAAGGAGCTGAAGCCCGGGTCCCTGAGCCCTGCCACCTAGGCTGAAGCCGAAGCCTGAGCAACTTAGCTTCGTGGGGGCCCCTGTGGCATGGGGCGCCAGGCAACTGCCCTGCTTGCTACCCCCTCACGCCAGCCCTGGCTTTTATATGCAGAAAACCGGTGGTGTCAGCACTCGTGGGCCGTGGAGTTTTTATAGCATACTGGGGGGGCCTCAGAAAGAAAAAGGGTGAGAACCCCTGAGCTAGATCATGCAGTCCCTCTACCCCCAGCCACTCCTGCCTCTGGATTACTTTGTGACACTGGGGTAGGGGAGAGGGGACACCTCAAGACCCTGTTGATGAGTGATTGGTTGCGTAGCTCAGCTCCCCGGTGTGACAAAGCAGAGAGCAAACCCAGTCCTAGCAGCAGAATGGGAATACACACGCCAGCTATACAAAGACATGTCAAGGTCAGCTGGGCACATAAAACAGAAACACGTGTATTTATACACACAGCCACCCACGTGCAGATTAATGGACAGACGCTCCAGTGCTGCACCCGAGTTTTGATCCTGCTCTCTCAATACCGCCCTCCGCACACATTCCCGGAGGGAATCACATGATGAGACCTGGAATGGCTCCATCCCGCGGGGGAGAATGCGTCCCAGCCGGAAGGATGCGGGGGAGGGGAGGGGGGGTTGCAGAAAAATGTCATGTCCCCACTCTGAGGTTGTGAGAGTGGAAACGACTCGAAAGCCCGGAGTGGAGAACGAACATGTGTCCGTGAGGATTAATACCGTCATCTGTGCAAGAGGCTGGGAGCCTGGCTTCCAGCAGGCCGCGCGCACAAAGCTGCCGCTGCATGGCAAAGCCAACAGCATGCCCGCCACAAATACAGCTACGGTCCACAGAGACAGCATGCAAACACTTGCACACGGAGCCATCCCCGGGAGTGGTTAACCTGTAGCTCCGTAGCACAGACTTGAGCTAAGGGAGGAACATCACTAACCAGCAGCAGTAGTAGGCTGTTACCTTCAGAGAAAAAGCCTCGAAGGGGGGGGGGGCACAACACACACTTGTGCAAGTACAGAGCCAGAGTTATGATACACCCATCTGCCCGCACAAACAAGTGTGATCCAAGGACATGTTCACTCCCATTCACATCCACTCAACATTTACTGCATACACACTCCCTCCATTACCCGGGTGGGAATTTTCTTCTTCCAAATCCACATTTCCTTCTGGAATGAAGAGCTGGCATGTCTCCCTGGGACCTGATTCATGCAGCATTTGCTCTGCGTGATTGTAAAGGCGCGTCAGCATGGACTCCCTGCTCAGGGAGTTACCCGGTGAGAGACCTAAAGAGAGTTACCAGCATATTCTCGGGGCAGGGTTTGCTCCCTGGTAGAAGCTGCTTTGCAGGGTGCTAACATGCTTCTCCTCCAAGGTCAGACACCGGGGCTGGTATTCAATATCCAGAGTCCTTACTGCCATTCACTCCGAGGGTAAGTGGCATTCATTGATTTTGCAGGAAGGTTGATATTTTTAGCCGGTGCGGGACGACAGGCCATGGAGCATTTTCCTCTAACAAGTCAGATCACCTGCCCACAGCCCCCTCCCAGTCGGCACCCTCTCCTGCACCAGTCCCCTCTCTTCCAAAAATTGTTTTCAGGAGACACTCTCCCCAAGGATCTCTCCTCCACAGGGGAAGCCTTGTCCTCAGGGAGGTCTTCTCCCCCTGCAGCATTTTCAATTTTGCTCTGGGTCAAAATAAGAATTGTGCAACAAACCGTCACGCAGCCCTTCACCACAGCGTTTTGGCTTGTGCGGATTTCGCTGCAAACGGTTGGAACCAGCAGTATTTCGGCACTTTTCTGCCATAGTAAAGATTTGCAGGGCAGACTGCCCTGGTGGTGGAGGATGGGGGGGGGGGGGCTGGTGTTTTTATTTTCTCTGCAAAGCACCGTACACAGCCTTGGCACTACAGAAATAATCGCTCAATCATTTCATCACTTCGTGTGCACTGAGATCACTACCACATATGAAGCATCTGATGGCGACAAAATGCCTTCATCCATCTGTGATCAAACAGCTGGTTTCCTTGTCCTACTGGGGCTACCTTGTTCTCATCCCCTGCTGAATGGTCGGTCTAATTCCACTTTCTTATTATACTGTAAAAGACCCGGGTTGGAGGCTCATTGGAAAACATCCCATTGGGCAGACCGTACAGCTAAGCAAGACAGAGATAATTTCCCAAACGTCTGAGAGAACCAAGCAACTGCCATCAGCCGGTGCAAGCCTGGGGAAGGGGCTGAGTGGGTGTGGAGAGGAATAGAGACCCCAAGGAAGGAGGGAATGAAACAAATGGCCGGTAGAAGAAAACGCAAAGGGCTGGTATCTCAGAGGAGGGCTCAGGGGGAGAAAGCCCAGAAACCCCTTTGCCGTTTGGATGTGCAAGTTAGTGGGTACATGCAGACGGGGAGCTGGCTTGATCAGACCGCGAGGCCACACCGGCCTTCTGCAGCTGAGAGGCTTCGGTGACAGTGGTTATCGTGTTTGTGGAGGGTATGGTCTATTTGTTATATCCCACCTGCTGTGTGGGGGGAATGGGTTTAAATGATATAAAGGGAGACCAGATACCATAGTAATGGGCGCATTAGAAATTGCAGGTGAGAGCAATTCGCTAGTCTGGAGCAAGCAGATACCTGAGTGAGGACTGTACCAAATGGGATGACAGAGCAAAGGGGATACCCACTTTTTCCTAGGTGCTCTGTGTATTGTAGTCATGAGAAGACAATACGCACCCAGTGATCCCAAGGGCTTTTCCACGCAGCCATCTCACCCCTCTACTGGAACACAACACCCCCCGCCCCCAGCTTTATCCCCAGTGCAGTAGGCAGCAGGCGGTTTTCCCCCCACCTCCAAAGCTCGCTGCAGGGGTGAAATAGAGCACAAGCTACTTACTGTCCAGGCATGGCTCACAGACCGTCTGATTCACCCCACAGGGCTGTGCTACCCCTTCGCCCAGGTTGCAGGCTTTGCAGCACTCCCCGCTGGTGGTGTACCTCTTGGTGAGACACTTCTCCTTCGCAGCCCCTGCCGGCCCCTGCCACGGGAGGGAAACAGAATGATCGGGTCAGTCTCTTTGCTGTGCAGGTGGGGTGGGTGAGGAAATAAGTTACTAAATAAATTCAATCCCACCAGCAGGAGGGATGTCCAGCGTGATCAAAACGCCCCAGCCTAAAATGCACTTGATTGGAAACATCTGGGTTTAAGATGAGCTCACCTACCTACTATTATTAACATCAAAGGCTTGGGAGAAGAAAGGGATTAAAGAGTGTCGTTCCCCTCCTCCCCCCGCCACCCCAAATTCCCATTCCCCAATAAAGCCCCCAAAAGCATGAGAGTGAGATCAGCTAGGAAAGCAACCAAGTGTCTGGATTCTGCCCTCTGCCGGCACAGCACATTGTGGGGGGGGGGAGGCTGGGTTCTTCTGGGTGCCTATTGCACTCCTTAGTCGCACTCCTATAGAGCCTTTCGTCAAAGGATCTCAAAGCACTCTGCAATCGTTAACCACCTAACCCTCCAACCATCCCTGTGACGTCGAACGGATGCAGGGGAATAAATAGAGACTCAGAGACTTGCCCAAGGTCACTGCGGCTACCCAGTGGGAGAGCTGAAAAGCTAACTGAGTTTTAAACCCTACCATCCCAAACCCTCGCCCAGTTAGGGTGACCAGACGGCAAGTGTGAAAAATCAGGACAGGGAATGGGGGGTAATAGGCACCTGTCTAAGACAAAGCCCCCAAATAGCGGGACTGTCCCTATAAAATCAGAACATCCGGTCACCCTATGCCTAGTGCACCGTGGTTTGCTTGAGCTCCAGGACTGAATTCCGAGGCCTGATAATGGAAGCGCACGCTTTGAAGTGCTTGGTAATTATGGTGCCAAGGGATTCAGCTATATCACTGTCTAATGGAAGCAACGGTATTTGCTTTCTAAATAAATCCTGCCCTGGCGTATGGAAGCAATAACACGCCACAAGTTGCGCGGTTAGGACAGAGCTGCATATGCATCATGTGGGTTTGGTAAACGGCAGATGAGTGAGGCCAACCTTCCTGAGAAGTGGGAGGGCTGGGTGCTTTAACTTCATAAAGTGCTTCTTGCTGTCAAGCACCCTCCCTAGCAACGCGGCATCTGCTTCCCTAGAAGAGACAGCTAGCGGCCGAGTGTTGGCAAAGGTTACGTCTTGCAAAGGCTATTATTTTTCCCCGCTGCAATGCTTGTCGGTAGAAGCAGCCAGCCGCTTTGTATGAGCTGTGGTAACAAAAAGAAGAAGGGGAGAATTGGATGGCTCAGGGCATGGTAACGAGATTCAGAGCCTTCCACCAAGGGGAGTTGGGCGCCTAAATACTTTTGAGGCTCTGGGCCCCAGTGCAAAACTAGCCCAGGCAGGGACCAAAAGGTGCTATCTGGCATTCTGCATGAAATGAGCTTGGCAGCATCACGCCACTTTCCATTCTGCACGTCACAAGCCGACAGCCACTGGCACTAACTGCCAACCATGTCTACGGTCTCAACAGAAAGGCCCAGGAATACATGGGACAGAGATACTGAAATACCTCTCTCCTTGTCCTGAGCAGTGGTCCCACAGGGCCGTCGACAAACACAGCTATACTTGAACAATGCTCTTGGCTACTGCTGAATGAGAAACATTTCCTGGGGGTGGGGTATTTTCATGAAGCGACCACTCAGTGCAACAAAAATAAATCTGCTCACAGCACTGCAGGCTGGGAACTTGCTACTTTATTGAATTGCATCACAACAGAGTGGAGAGGGGAAGCTTCCATTGACTAAAACAGGAAGTAAGGGCGAGGTGGAACATGGCTCCAACTCATAATACTCTGAATTAATCCTTTGATAACCATCTCCTACTTCGACCACATCACTAACGAACAGGTCTGTAACATCATCACTCAAAGCGCTAGGTCATATGAAGACCTCCTGACGACCGTGAAGAAGCACAAGCTGAAGTGGTACGGCCATGTAACAAGCTCATCTGGCCTATCCAAGGTCATCCTCCAAGGGACAGTACAGGGGAAGAGAAAAAGACGTAAACAGAAGAAGAGATGGATTGGCAACATAAAAGAGTGGACAGGAATGGACTTCACGGAGACTCAAGCACTGATACACAGTCATCAGGGGTGGAGACAATTGGTTGATTGCTTATCAATGATGGTGCCCCAATGACCAATGTGGTTATGGGAGCGAGGATGATGAGAGGCATAAATCATCAATCTCTATGCAATTTAAGATTCACTTTTTTTTTTAACTAATTGTGTTTCTAGCTTTTAGGTTTCCGAAGAAAACCTCCCAAATGGGAATGTATGCAGCACTGTCTTCCTGAGTCTACAGACAGATAGCTTGCCTGCTGCTTACCGCTTCTTCAAATAGCAGCAGAGTGAAACCTAGAAGCCTGGTCAGTTTCATGGCCTCTGGGAACAAGAATCATGTCAGTTTTAGTCTGCTGCTCTGGGCAGCAACACAAGAAAGCATTGGAGTTATTCATGAAGAAAAAGTCACTTGGAGATGGGTAGAGTAGCAGAAATCTGACCTCTCCAGCAGCAGCAAGTAGAGTGTGGGAAGAATAGTTAAGAGGAGTTGGAAGAGAGAAAAAGTTCTTCCTTCCTTCCAGCAAACATAGGGAGTTCACCTTTATCTGCCACCAATAGCCAGAAGCAGCTACACAAGATGGAGCAGAGTCTAGGGCGAGCATCACTGGAAGGAATCCCAGTCCCACCCCTGTTCCCAGAAACTGGGAGAGGAGCTTCTGGCTTCTCACCACCACACCCCCTCTTGACTTCCATAGTTGGGGGCAGGGATAGCTCTGTGATTTGAGCATTGGCCTGCTAAACCAGGGTTGTGAGTTCAATGATTGAGGGGGCCATTTAGGAATCTGGGGCAAAAATTGGGGATTGGTCCTGCTTTGAGCAGGGGGTTGGACTAGATGACCTCCTGAGGTCCCTTCCAACCCTGATAGTCTATGATAATATCAGCCTCTAAATAGTAGGTTAACTCTTGTGCCGGGTTGGTGTCTGGTACAGTTATCAAGCCCATCGGGACTCTAAAGCAGCATCTCCCTGCTGCACCTTTCATGAGCAATACAATTCATGCCAGAAATGAAAATACAGCATTGAAAAAAATCTCTCAAAACAAACCCTGCCAGGGGAAAAAAAAAACGAGGCAGGAAAGACACTTTCCTGGCAATTTCTCTTGCCCACCCGCCCCTCGCCACGCAAGGGAGACGAGCTGAGCGAAGGAACCCAGTGCCTTCGCAAGCCAGCTCAGCTCCCTGCACAGCGGGCACCTCCCTCGGCCAATTCTCTGCCTCCTTTCCCAGTGTCCATTTGATAAACTCTGTGCTCTGTCTATTACAGATGCTGGTGTTAGACAAGGGCGCGCCAATTACAGGCATTTGAATGACAAAGGGCTCCAATTACCGGCGCTTGAGAGCATGTGGGCATTGGCACTGCATTCGGCAGCACGGTTAACTCGTGAGGGCCTGGGATGACTCTCTCTGGGCACGACTGCAATAAAAGACCCACGGCACCAAGCCTTGGAGGCTGGATCAAGTGATTCCGGCTCACGGGGCTCAAAACAGCAGTGTAGACGTTCTCGCTTGGGCTGGACCCTGGGCTCTGAAACCACGTGAAGGGGGTGGCTCAGAGTCTGCCCTCCAGCCCGATCCTGAATGTCTACATGGCTATTTCTAGTCCCAAGCCCCGCAAACTCGAGTCAATTGACCCGGCCTCTGATGCTCGGTGCCGCGGTGTTTTTCTTTGCCGGGTACACATACCCTCTTGTAAACGTTGCATCTCACGAGTGACCCCAAGAGATGGGGCTTCATGCTCAAGCCGGCATATCCAGGCTAAGAAGGGTCCCTGGTAAGTAAAGTAGTAACTGCAAGCTCCTCACAGGCTCTTGTATCATTATTTTAGGGCCGTGGTTCTCAACCTTTCGGGGCTCAGGACCCAGTTGTAGGTGCTTATGGCCTGTCACGACCCAGTAAATAGTCTGGGGGCGGAGGCCCTGGGGTGGTTTCGGTCGCATTCTGTCTCCTGAGAGGGTTGGGTCCTGCCCAGCACTCACCCCACAATGGCAGCTCCTGCAGCTCCTGGGCTGTGGGGCTGGCTGGGCTCGGCTCTCCTGCTCCAGGCATTGCAACCTGACTGGACCAAATTGGTGGGAGTGGAGCTGTGACCTGGCTTATGGGGCTGCAGCGCCACTCACTCAAATTTAGTCTACCCGGACTCCCGTCAGCCTGATGGCTCGGCCAGCCTGCGCCGTGCTGGGACCCCAGAGGCTGCAGTGCCTGGAGCAGGGAGGCAAGCCCAGCCAGCCCCACAGCACAGGAGCTGGCTCGGGGCCCTTTGACACGTTCCGGCGACCCAATGTCGGGTGCTGACCCACGGGGTTGAGAAACTCGGGTCTAGGGCCTCTCTGCTGGGTGAGGTTGGGACTGGAGAAGCTGGGGGGGGGGGGGGTTACAGCATTCCACGGTGCCCCCTGCTGGAAGAAGGTAAGAATTAAATTAGGGTTGGCCAGAAGAAAATAATCCCATTTGGTGAAAAATATTGAGGGTTCAAAATGTGTTTACATTCTGCCTCGGAAGGAAACCGAAACCTTTCAAACCTGTCCACAAAACATGAGAGAGAGAGAAAAGCCAAGGGCCCTGTGACTAGGGCAAAGAAACACCCTGACTCAAGGCTTTCCTCTGCCTGATTCCACCAGCTTCAGATGCAGTCTCCCTCTACCTGATTTAGAGCAGGCATTTGAACCCGGGTCACCCCCGGCAGCCCAGCTGAGTGCCCTAACCACTGGGCTATCACATGGTGAGGGGCTTGCTCTCGTTTTGCTCAGAAATTCCATCCTGACCCAAGGAATCTTCCTGGTGAAAGTTTAATTAAAACCGGCAAATTTCTGCCAAAAGGCTACAACGAGAGGGGGAAGTGTCATCAAAAAGTTCCCAAATGACTCCAGATGAAATTGCTTTAAGAGCCATCACACCCAGCTCACCTCTAGGGTGACCAGACAGAAAGTGTGAAAAATTGGGACAGGGGGTGGTGGGTAATAGGCGCCTATATAAGAAAAAGCCCCAAATATCAGGACTGTTGCTATTCAATGGGGACATCTGGTCACCCTACTCACCTCCTGCATCACCCCACAGTGACCCCTGATGACAGGGGCAAGGACGGCAGTAGGTGGGTCAACATTCAGTGACTTGTCCTGCATCCTTTCCGGCAGTGACTCCTCTTGCCAGAGGCTGGGGCTCGAGTAACAAACCAGCTGCTCACATTTCTTACTATGAATAGCTCTGGGAACGAATGGGACCAAAGCAGCTGTGCTTTCGGTCCCAGTCTGCTCAGGCCGGCAGGGACTGAATGAAGTGGGTTACCAAGAAGCCTCAAAAAATTGGGTAGAAACTCATAAATGTTCCTCTCCTCAGAAATCTGTAGTAAAAGGTGAAAGATTTATATGATCTGAAAAGAAACCAAAGTATAGCCAGGCTCTTACCCCAGCCTCTGCCAGGGTTCCTAGAAGCTAGAAGTGAAATATACAGGCTTTCCTGCGGCCAGTACTCCCTGCAGTGCCCCCTGCTGGGAGAGAGCAGCTGTGAGATATGGCTAATCCCTCGCAATCTGATTGCCGGGGGCGGGGGCCACTGACTGACAGCCCACACTCTGCATCCCCTGTTGTAATTCTTGCCAGGAAAGGTAAGAAGAAATGAGCAACGCCCCCTGCTCCTTGGCAATCCCTCCCCTCAGTGCTACTAAATGATGTGGAAAATATAACTTCCATTCCCAGGTTCCAGAATCCAGCCTCCCTGCCAGCCTGCCTTTCCCTTTCCGCTCTGCGTCCCGAGCACTGAAAACTCCCATAAAGATTAACACATTTATAGGAGGGCACATGGTCTACATTAGTCCAATGAAATGTGCATGTTATTAACACAACTCCTGTTGACAAAGCCACAGGTATTAACCCCATAAAGCATTATGACAGCTGGAACAAGAAGGGGAGAGTGACACCTCCATGAGCTTTTAATTGCTTTTTAAGTTGTGCTGGTGTGTGTGGGTGGGGTGTGTGTGTTTTGTTTTGTTTTTTTAAGGAAGAGGATGATTGATCATAAACCCTGGAATACATGTAGGACATGGTAGCAGGGCACATTACCAGTAAATCTCTGGCATGAAAAAGATTTCATCCTGAACAGGAGACCTGGGGCAAACTTCAAGCTGGAGATGGGCCCAAAATCCTGGAGCCACACTGCCCCACAGGCTTCTCACATTCCATGGCTACTAGCCTCAATGGCCACAACCAGCAGAACCAAAATGCCAGCTCAGAATAACCCCCACACTTTGGGGACATCTGAAATCTGGATCTGAATTCTACAGCCTGGGTCATTCGCAAGTCACAGCCCCACATGGGCAGTTTCTCTCTGCATCCTACCACTTGAGAATGGCGCTGACCAAACTGAAGACCCTTCCCCTTCCCTTCCTATTCCCCCCAAGGAGTTTATCTGCTGGTTGGGGCTGGTAATGGGACACTGAGCCTTTCGGCTCTAAGCAAGCGGTTCCAATCCAGTGCAGCTCGGTGATGACTGAAAGTTATTTCCATCTGTTCGGTGGTCTGTGTGAAGTGGGCTGATGGGTGTCTCTCTACCTTCTAGGGGCAGATGTGCTCATTGCAGTCCACAACTGCCTACCCCCCCGCTCACACGCCCCTTGGCTGGCTGTCTCAGCAGAGAATCAAGGGTACAAGTGAACACCCCTTTGAGCCCCAGAGGTGATCCCTCCGGGTCACAGCTGAGCAGGGAGAGCACTGGGGGTCCTTGGCCTGTTTCTGCTCTGTAGATCAAGTTGTGGGCTAAGGAGGTGCAAAATGGTTTTAAATAAATGAGGTTGGCTCAAGCCCTGAAGTATGAGGTTTAAAATCCCCTCCAAAATGTGCTCAGCAGTAACTCTCATAATTCTGGGTAGTCCTGATATCCACAGAAACATCCACTCCTGCCCAGGCTGTGGATCTGAGTGGGGCTAGCAATTCCTCTGTTCCTAGGGATCTATAATATACCTCTGCCTAGGGGCCTTTTCTTCTGCTCGATCACTGCCTTTGGCTTGTGAATATTTCACTGGCCTTTCGCACTCTCCCCCCTGCAATGCTTTTAATGGTTGTCCCCTATCGTATTTGAATGGTTGGTGCCCCCACAAGAACCCAGGGAGGGCGGGGGAGGGGTGCTTTAGCAATCAAAGCACAATTGCTCTGTGATCCCCTAGCTCCTGCTCGGGTGGGAGCCCAGATCTCATGGGGGCAGATGCCCTCAGGGGGTCCCAGACTAGAGGAGAAACCCCTGGCCCCCTGCTAGCCCCTTCTGCTATGTGTGAAGGTCACAGGGGTCCGGGCACTTGGGCTGCCATCCAGACTAAGGGTGAGGTTAGCTGAACTGAGCCAGCTGTGGAAAGGGGCCTGCTGGCTGATACCTTCCCTGGGCTGGGGCTTCCCCTCTCTCTGCTGGGGATGGGTGTCTGGAGCACCCCGAGCAGGGACACTGGAAGCTGCCAGGCCGTTCAACCAGACGCCTGAGGGTGTTGGAGAGACTTTGCCCCCACCCCCATCCCTGGGAAAGGGATAGCAGCAGGGGAGGGGGAGATAGGTGGGGGAGTGTCTGGAAAGGGGCACAGGCGGGTGAGTGGGGAGGAGGGGTCGGGAAAGGGAGGGGACGGGGCTGCTGGGGTGGGTGGATGGGTTGGGGAAAGGGGTGGGTGGATGGAGAGGGTGGAGGGAAGAGAAGGGAAGGGGTGTTGGATGGATGCATCACAGGGGCCAGTCTGGCCGCATGATCCCCAGCCCAGCCGCGTGCATTGATTTAAAGCCCCTCAGCATCCCTTTGTGGGCGTTCAGCTCCTTGGCTGGATGGAGCCCCCGGGGCGGGGCTCAGCCGTAGGGAAGGGAACGGAGCATGTTCCAGGCAAAGTGCCCGGTCCAGAGGGGAGAAGGTCACAGCCCAGCCCTGCTCTCTGTGCCCCTCCACACACTGTGCCTAGCAGCCCACCGCTCTGCACCCCCCTGCCTGGCCATCCTCCACCCCCGCACCCCTCGGCTAACTTCCCCCCGTGCCCGGGTACCCCTCCCCGAACCCTCTTCCCCCCGGCTAACCCCCTTCCCTCCGTCCCCCTGTAGCCCTCCCCCCAGCTAACCCCTCCCCCAGTCCCCTTGTACCCCGGTACCCCCACCCCGCTGCTCCCCTGTGCCCGGGTACCCCCCGCAACGCTCCCCGCTAACCACTCCCCCGTCCCTCTGTGCCCGGGTACCCGCCGCACCCCTTCCCCCGCTAACCACTCCCCCGTCCCCCTGTGCCCGGGTACCTCCCGCAGCCCTTCTGCCCCTTAACCGCTCCCCCGTCCCCCTGTGCCCGGGTACCCGCCGCACCCCTTCCCCCCCAACCACCCCCCTTCCCTCTCTGCCCGGGTACCCCCACAGTCCTTCCCCCGCAAACCACTCCCCCGTCCCCCTGTGCCCGGGTACCCCCCGCACCGCTCCCCCCCAACCACCCCCCTTTCCCTCTGTGCCCGGGTACCCCCGCAGCCCTTCTGCCCCGCTAACCACTCCCCCGTCCCCCTGTGCCCGGGTCCCCCACCCGCCCTCGCTAACTCCCCCGTCCCCCTGTGCCCGGTACCCCCCCCCTCCCCCCCAACCACCCCCTTTCCCTCTGTGCCCGGGTACCCCCGCAGCTCTTCTGCCCCTTAACCGCTCCCCCCGTCCCCCTGTGCCCGGGTACCCCCGCACCGCTCCCCCCTAACTCCCCCGTCCCCCTGTGCCCGGGTACCCCCGCACCGCTCCCCCCCAACCACCCCCCTTTCCCTCTGTGCCCGGGTACCCCCGCAGCTCTTCTGCCCCTTAACCGCTCCCCCGTCCCCCTGTGCCCGGGTACCCCCGCACCGCTCCCCCGCTAACTCCCCCGTCCCCCTGTGCCCGGGTACCCCCCGCACCGCTCCCCCCCCAACCACCCCCTTTCCCTCTGTGCCCGGGTACCCCCGCGCCTTCTGCCCCTTCCTCCCCCGTCCCCTTGTGCCCGGGACCCCCCCTCCCCCTACTCCCCCTCCCCCTTCCGGGTACCCCCCACCGCTCCCCCCCCAACCACCCCCTTTCCCTCTTGCCCGGTACCCCCCGCACCCTCCCCCGCTAACTCCCCCGTCCCCCTGTGCCCGGGTACCCCACCCCGCTCCCCTCTAACCACTCCCCCGTCCCCCTGTGCCCGGGTACCCCCCGCACCGCTCCCTCGCTAACTCCCCCGTCCCCCTGTGCCCGGGTACCCCCCGCACCGCTCCCCCCCCCCAACCACCCCCCTTTCCCTCTGTGCCCGGGTACCCCCGCAGCTCTTCTGCCCCTTAACCGCTCCCCCCGTCCCCCTGTGCCCGGGTACCCGCCGCACCGCTCCCCCGCTAACTCCCCCGTCCCCCTGAGCCCGGGTACCCCCGCACCGCTCCCCCCCCCAACCACCCCCTTTCCCTTTGCCGTACCCCCGCGCTCTTCTCCCCTTAACCGCTCCCCCGTCCCCTTGTGCCCGGGTACCCCCCGCACCGCTCCCCCGCTAACTCCCCCGTCCCCCTGTGCCCGGGTACCCCCCCCACCGCTCCCCCCCCAACCACCCCCCTTTCCCCCTGTGCCCGGGTACCCCCTGCAGCCCTTCTGCCCCGCCGTCCCCTCTGACCCGCTACACCCCTTGTCTCCATCCCTAGATCCGGCTGCTCCCCCCACCCCGTCCCGCCTGTGCCCGGACACCCGTCCCCTGTCCCGCTACACCGCCCGCCTCTCTCCCTGCGTCCGGCTGCCCCCCGCGCCCGCCCCATCCCTTTGCCCGCCTGCCCCGCGCCGGGCTGCCTCCTCCTCCGGGGCTCTCCAAGCGCACGGCCCCCCCCGGGCCCCGGCTCCCCTTCCCCGGGCCCGGGGCGCCGCCAGAGCCCGCGGGTTGACTCACCCCTGGGACCAGCAGCAGGAGCAGGAGCAGGAGCTTCTTCCCCATGGTCCCTCCCGCGGGCGGGCGCGACGGGGCAGAGCGAGCGGCGCTTCCCCCCGGGCCCCTGCAGCCTCTCACCTCCCCGGCGGGCTCGGGTCGGAAGAGGGAGGCAGCCCGGCTGGCTGCGGGACAGCACCTGCCTCTGAGCCCGAAGCTCGGCCCCGTTTCATTAAAACGATCGATACTGCTCTCCCACTGGCTGGGTGGCTTTTCAAAAACCCAAGTCACTGCAGCAGCCCCTCCTCCCTGTGCCGCCCCCCCCCCCCACTTCCCCTCCACCCCCAGGAATATTGTAACACACACACACGCTGGCATCTGCCTGCTCAGCCAGAGACTCTTCGGAAAGGAGCCTGGGAGACAATTTAGCTGGGAAATGCACAAACCTGACAAGACAACTTCCAGCTCCCTTCCCCTTCGCCAGCTGCCATGCATGGCCCTGGAAACGCTGAATGGCAGCTACATGGCCTGGGTTTCCAGGAGAAGGGCTACACACAGGGCCGATGGACTGCTTTCATTGGGGTCCTTCTGTATTACCCACCTATGCCTACCCCCCTCCCCCAAATCCATCTACCCAGCCCACAGCCCAGCATCCCTCCCACCCTCCCCTCCATCTGTCTGTCCACCTTTGCTCCTATTTTAGTCTTTATTTGTGGTACAGCGGCACCCAGAAGCCTCCATCGGGTTGAGGCCCCTGGGTGAGGCAGCCCGAAGAGGAAGATGACCTGCAGGCTAAATTCCCCCTTTCACCTGCCCATCCCACTGGTCTTCTTTTAAGTCAGAGCTTGCTGGTGTGGAGAGGGCTGCCCAGATGGGAATGAAGACTGGAGACTGCCCTTGTGCAGCCCAGGTCCCAAAGACGTCAGAGTCCCTTCTTTAAAAGCGAGCATAGTATTCTACAAGAATGGTCCACAATGTTTGGGCCAGACCCTCCGTTACAGTGGAGACGCGTCCAGTACAGTTTGGCGGAGAGGGGAGCAAGGAAGTGTCTTTTGCCCCTCCTGAAACTAGGCCAGCTGTGTGCAGCTTGGGTGTGCGGCATAATTCAGAGCAGCTTGAAGGCTGCTCTAAACGAGCCCAGCTGCTGGCGGTCCCTGGGGGCTGATACATCAACCAGGGACTGCCAGTCAGTCACATTCCTTTTCCCTCCAGTCCCTGTCACTACATCCGCAGCAGGAAGGGGTGTGCAGAGGAGGAACTACCCAGGCCCTAACTTCCAGAGAATTGCCCTATACTGGGGCAAGCAATTCCCCTATCCTGGCCAGGGATGCTGGCATTAGGGTTACTGGGCCCATGCTGCAGGGGAGAATCGGAAGAATCCTGTTCTACCATAGTGTGTGGAGAGATTATGGTTGTGTATTGTATTAATTAAACACTGTAACGACATTGTTTGGGGCCATTACTGGAGAACACTGTAGTGCCGTTGTTATTATTAAGGTAAAATTCCCCTTGTCCCTCACTGCAAGCGAGGAAGGGTGGTCTTGGGGCTACCACACTGTTCTGGGGCTCAGGAGATCTGGGCTCATTTCCAAGGGTCTGCTGCAGACTCCTCATGTGACCTTGAGCAAGTCATTTAAAAAAAAAATCACTCCCTGCCTCAGTTTCCCCATTTGTAACACAGGTGCAATAGAATGCTCCCTTTGTTTGGATTGCCAGCTGTTTGGAGCAGAGGCTGTCTGCTGCTATGGGTTTTTACAGCACCGAGCACAAAGGTGCCTTGACCTCAGTTGGGGTCAGTAGGTGCTACAATAATACACATAATAAGAAAGAAAATGGTGAGTTGATTCCTTGATTGGCAGCAAGTTCTCTCCTCTGTGCACAGACCTGGTTTCTGCAGCCTCCTGCTGGCTGGGCGCTCTTCTCTTGGGCCTCGGCGTTCCTGCCCCTCCCAAAATGTCCCCTAACCCCGGGGGACAAGGAGCTCTCGAAGCCAGATGGCTCCAGCAGCAGCTGGCAGGGCAAGGCATGGGGGAACGTGAGCCTGTTCTCTAATGTTAAGTGGAGAATTAGGATGAAACTCAAGGGGGGGGTGTTGCGGGAGGGGGGAGGAGAGGGGGGCGCTGTGACTTCCTTTCTGCACCCCCAACCTATGTACCCGATCCTCCCCAGTCCTTACTGGGAGACAATGGGAGTTTGGCCTAGGAAAGCAGAGTTAAGGATCTGGCCCAGCTCTGGAGTTCACTGGAAATGGGTGAATGAAAAACCAAGCCAAAGGAGGAGAATGGCCTTAATTAAGATACCGTCCTGCTCTCCAGCCAGGACCCACAACCTGGCAGCATCCAAGAAGGCCAAACCCTCCCACCCCTAGGTGAGTGCTGTGGGATTTTTGCCTGAGTGAGAAATTAAAGGTCCACCCCCAGCCGGTGCAGGAGTTTCCCCTCCTCCCTCCAGTCTCCAATCCATTGCCCCAGTTTAGTTTTCAATTGCTCCAGGAGGCTGTTTCACTGCTTCCCGGCATCAGCATTCTGACACCCCAGGCCCAAGAGACATCCCCCCACTCGCACGTTATTGTCCTTCGCCGGTTTCCTCCCCATTGCTCATCCCGCTGTGCCTCATTAAACCTCATGCATTCCGCCCCCTTCCGGCATTTGCAGGCGGAGACCAGGGTCTTGCAGAGCAGTTGCTCAGCCAAGATATTTCAATTCTTCTGATCTTGCCTCGCAAATCAAGCCCTGCAGCTCCCCGATGGTTTTTTTTTTTTTTTTTTTTTGACACTCTCCTTTGAACTGCCTCCAGCTGAATCTATCTTCCTGGCAATGAAGCGCCCACCGCTGAAGGCAGGAGCATGACTGCGGGGTGTGTTTTTCAGATGATGACTGTAGCACTGGTTTATAGCCCTCGTTACTACACCTTGCTTGGCTGCGAGATGCAGCGTGACGGGCTTCACCTTGCTAAGAGCAGATGGGCATTCACCCATATGTTAAATACCCTTCCTTAACCGGCTTGTAATGAAGAGGTGGTACCTCCCCGCAGACAGCTCTGGGCTGCCTTCCTGCCATTGCTAGTCTTCCTGCTGCTGGAGTAAGGACTTTGTCATATTGATCGGATCAGGCTGCGTTTCCTCTCACAAACGCGAGCTATCGACCTGCCAAAGCGGATGGTGTCAAACAGCACGAGTGGGGCAGCTGTATTCTTCTGGGCAGCTCAGTCTGCTCTCATGAGCAGCTACAAAGGATCTCTAGGAAAGTCCCTCTTTCAGAGCCTTTCGCTCAAGTCCAATAAAATTAAACAAAGGATACGGTTTGTTCTTCATCAGCCAGACGTAGCATCACACGTGCATCCCACACCAGGGCAGGATCTGAAGTTTGGTTTGCTGGCTCCGCTCAGTTGTCTGTCCAGGGTGAAGCTTGGGAGCAGGGTCCTCAGTTGAGTACCCACTTGGCAGAGCTGGTCTTTGGGACATGAGCGCAGTGCCCACTCAAGGATCAAACCCTTGGAGCTGGAAGCAGTGGTGACAAACCAAGCTTTTCTTTTTGCTAATGCTGAGAAGATTGCAATGGGGAGATCTACCTGGTTGTAGGGCAAAGGGGTGTGGCTACAATGGGGGAGATCCAGAACAAGGAGACGACTAATCTTGTGCTTCCCACTCCAAGCAAACCCACCCTCTCTCTAGTAATACACAAGTCCCTTGCTGCTCCCTGGGAATGCCTTCCAAACTCCGGGGAGTTTACAAATTGACTCCAGGTGTCATGGACCCTGAAACAACCCCCACATCCTCAAAGGCCCCCATTCAGAGGTGATGTGCAAGGTGGGGCTACACTGGTGTAATTGCCACGCTCCAGGGCTAGACATGAGCAGCACCTCAGGGAAAGAAGTGAACAGGAAAGTGTCAGTTAAATTATCTTTCCTCCTCTTAACTCCTACCACCTCCCAGCCCCACAGTGTGTAAGTTACAAGGAACTTCCATTTCCCCAGCTGTAACTGAGGCATCCCCTCTGACTCTGACCTTCAAATCTGAGGGACCCAAACACAGGCACTGGAAAAGCCACTGTATAGGAGCTCTGGGTCCGGACCGCATTACAGTGGAAATCATAGGGAAACCCCTCCACCTCAGGGGTTCTGGAACTCAACCCCTTGGGCCTGATTCGGATCTCACGCCCATGCAGATCAGGAGTCAAGGGAATTACACTGGAGTGAGCGAGTGGAGAACTGGGCCTCTTGTCTCCATTACCCGTGGGCTAACACTTTCCGCTCCAGGGTTCTGGGCTCGAATAACCCCCCTCTCAGGCATTGCCTGCCCCGGCTTACAGGCTGTGGGGTTGATCTACAGAACGTGCAGAAAGCAGGAGCCCCATGCAGTTAGATCTGTGATCTCCCCTCCCCCCAGCCCCCATACGCTCTACTCTCCAGGGATACTCAGTCCTCAAAAGCCCGATGCCTCTTCCTAGGCCCACATACTGCTCTCTGCTCAGCCCTGAGCGAACTGCCTGACATGGATGGAGCAACTGGCCCACGGGGAGGAATATAATGGTCGTGTAAAGCAGAGTCAGGCAGACAGACACCCCGTCAGGTGGGCTGTATCTGCAGCTGGGCTGGGAGACAGCTATGGTAAGTCACATCTTCTGCTCCCACTGTAACCACCTTCAGCGTCTTTGCTGACCGCGTTAGCTAGGGCCGCTGAATCAGCTCCCGCCATGTGTTTTGCTGGCAGCCCTTGATGGCTGTGTGTCACGACAAAGCTCCTCGTACAGGCCAAGGGGCACCACACAATGGAAGCTAATGACTGGAGGGTGCGGGGAGCATCTGGTCCACAAGGAACTTCAGGGCTTTGATCTTTAAGAGATTGACCTCCTAGGGTTAACACCCAGGTCCTGGCTGACTTCCTGGGGTCCTGCGGGAGCCCAAGGGACTCCATGCCAAGGGGGAAGGTTTAGGGTCCAGCATATCTGGTCTCCAAGGAGATGAGGCCTCTAAAAAAGAGGGAGGGTTTCTAGTCACTGGAGTGAGCCCTGCCCTGCCCTGCCCCACCTTCCTGCCACCACAACTACCCTCCTCCTGTGCCCTGAACCCCCAGCATGACCTGGCTTCACTGCCTGTTCCTGACCCTCTCTTGGGCTGGGGCAGTCAGGAATAGGGCAGGGAGGAACCAGTATGGAGACTACTTTGGGGGCAGGGAAGCTGATAGACAAGAGAGATGTGACTCTTCCCAGGTCTGAGGTGCATTTTCAAAGGCCACAACTA